ACCCACGAAAAGACACACAAAACCCCAGGGGCAGAAGCCCTCATCAAAATCACCCCCTCCGACTTCATCCACATCTACGAACACTTAGGGCACGACAAAGAACAGGACCCAAATGCTACCGAATGGAGAATCCAAGAGAGCAAGAAGAGGAGGAAGAGAAGATCATCAACTGCAAGCTAACAAGAATACCAAGATAGAAGACCAAGATATTTCCACCAAACAAGAAAACACCACACCCAATCAAGCCGAAAGGTACTGAGAAACCATTGCCCAACCCGACACGCATCTGACGTTTGACCTGACGCTCACCTGACTCAGGGTCCTGCCCCCTCCTCGTCGCATCCAGGCAAGTTGCTGCTGCCCCAAACTTAAAACCCCACATTACGCAAGCGGTGTTAAGCCACTGTACCTTTCCTCTCCTTCTAAAATTCACTTCAATCCTCTCTTTATCCTTCCTCTGAACCTCCTTCCCCCCTGTCACTAGCATTTATGTAAGTCAAGACTACGGAGCTCATTCTACTCTACTCTCCTGAACCAGCAAGACCTCTCAACAAGCGCCTCACCAACCAGCTCCCTCAGAAAGCTGCTCACCCAACAGGACCTCTGAGCAAGCTTCTCATCACTCCCTAGCACTGCACTGTACATACAATATATATATACTGAAAACGCATTGCGAGATATCTTACATGTACGTACGTATGTGAGCCCATACAAAGAGATAATAAACAAGCAAAGAGAATTTGACAACTGGCCACATACAGTACGCTACAGGGATTCGTCACTTCTTACAGCAGACTGTACACTGACTTATTTGCCAATAATACTAACAGTAAACACAGTTGAAGCTTTCAACATCACTCACAGTGATTCTTAAATGTTTCATCTGTACTCATACATATCTCATGTAATGCCAAACCATTAAGTTCTCTTTCAATTTCAAATCTCTGAACACGATGTGAGGTATTAAGAAATATCAGAGTCTCGGATACTAATTGAAAGAAAACGGAGGACTCTGGCCTCCTAAAGTGGCAAGAGAATGGACGTCTCAACTGTTGGACTCAACAGTTTCACACATGTTTTGTGGGCGGTGGAGCATAATATCAATAATTAAGTGTTGAACAGACTAGCCATGCTATTGTGACCATGACAGAACGACCTACTTATAAAACCTAATAATTTAGTTGCCTGATTCACCATCTTCTCACAATGACCCGAGAACTTTAGTTCATTGTCAACATACACACCAAGGTCCTTTTCACATTCAGTCTCAATCAATGCAGTTTCCTCGTCCCGTTGGGACATATGATACGCCTCCTTACTGTTGGTACGTCTCAGGTGCAGCCTCTTACACTTCGTGACATTGAATCTTAGCAACCATTGCTTCGACCATTCTTGAAGCTCACGAGATCCTTCTGCAGCTCTTCACAGTCTGCTTAGTTCTTTATTTCCCGAAATAACTTGGCATCATCCGTAAACATTTGTACAGCTTATGACATGTCATTTATGAAGTAAACAAACAACAGCGGGCCCAATACACTGCCCTGTGGTACCCGGCTTGTAAGGGGGGGAGGGTATCTCTCAAGCTGCCCCCCTTGTCTTACTCATACTTCTCTTGTCTAGTTCCTTCAATTGTTCTGTCTACACATTTCAGTTCAAAGGTTACTACGTAACCTCAGTTCTTTGGTAGCATGGCGAGGGTCTAGGGCACATGGGTATTGTAATTCTGATATCAGGGTCACTTGGATGGAAATAAAGGTGAACTACTGCGGGAAAATGAATACCCCCTAATATATTCTAAGAAAAGGTTTATTAATATGAAATCAAAGTAGGGAAAAATATATCATTAACATACAACTCCAAGGTGCAACTCCTCGGCTTTACTCAACTGCAATTTACCCAGATACTGTGCTCTTATTACTCACAACCTTACTGGTGTTACATTACATTACAGTTACCAAGACCAACTCCTTGGCTTTACTCACATTACATATAGACACATGACAACTCCTTGGCTTCACTCACATGCCATTCCAAGTGGGTACTCTGACTTCTCCCACATTACTGGTGATACATTACATTGCAGTACATTACCAAACAAACTTACATATACCTTCACAGACTGTTGTTAGTACATATGAGATGCACTCACAACACACAGCACGTTAATACTGAAACCAACAACTTATACATGGGTTCACTGCCCAACATGGGATAATTATATTCCAGAATTATCCCCAAACATATACACCAGACACTGGACCATAACTGCCAGGAGTGCTCCAGGGTAGAACACTCAACAACTGACGACCGTTGTGGTGATAGGTGGTAGCCAGACACATGGTGAGTCTGGGGTCTAAGGCCCACGAGGCGGACTTGGAGCAAGTTAATCATGTCGAATCAACGACAGCGTCCATATATCGCTCACTGCTAGGTAGCCACCGACTCCGGGCAGCCGGTGGGTGTTCAAAGAGCTCACAAACTGAATCTGAGGAACAACGGGAGAGGCCGTCACGGGAAAAGCATGAACTCAAACACAAACAACATCTCTCGTCTAGCAACGTCAGACGACATTTACTTTATATTAATACTTACACTGGGTGAATGACAATTCCACTGTTACAACATGAACACTGGCATTCACTACATTGACTAAATCAAACTGAATGGCTATATCAGCGGGGGAACACATGCTACATACCTGAGGAACAATGGGAGAGGGTGTCCTGGGAAGCTCCCTCCTCCTCGCACAGGGTTTATAAGCCCCTGAGTTGCCAGACTTGGCTATCTCACGCAATGACAGAAATTACAAACAAACCAACTGTTACACATTGAAAGATGACCCTCAGTTGACATAGGTCTGGCGAATTACTAAAGTTGATTTACATAAACTAATCCACGATTGAGCTTGCCAGTAGAAAGTGGAATAAAACGTATTGACAACTGTCTTCACATGGGAGGGACTTAGCCAGGGAGCAATGGTGTAAAACATCGATAGGGAAAAGCGCGTTTCTTCTTAGGGATAGCTAACCAGCTACCCATTCATGTTTTGTGGGCGTGGAGTATAATAAGAATCCTCAGTTTTAAAACAGACTAACAGTCAATGTGACCATGACAAGCTTGTGACGGGTACACATGGCGATTTCGTGCCATTAATCACCACACACTGTTTTCGATCATGGAGAGTCTCCGAATCACGCTAGGAGACTTCCCCGAATCCCGTACTCTTCCAGTTTATTTTTCAGCCTTTTGTGGGGTACGCTGTCGAAGGCCTTGGCAAATCTAGGTATACAGTATATCGTCGATATTACCATCCTGTTCCAGAATTTAGATCCAAACATCCAGTACCTTGAGTAATTGTGTTAGGCAAGAGCGTCCAGGCATAAGACCGTGTTGGCAATCCTTTACAAGGTTGTTTCTTAGTAGATGTTCAATCATGGCATCTTTTATAATGCTCTCAAGTACTTTACATACTATGCTGGTCAGGCTCACTGGTCTATAGTTATTTGTGGAGCTCATTCAGGCATTTACAGAACCAGATCTTCAGGGCCTCAACAAGCTCGTTGCACAACTCTCTCAGCACTCTGGGATGCACCTTGTCAAGGCCGGGACTCTTATGGACCTTTAGCTCTGACACTTTATTTCTTATAACCTCTTCTGTGAACACAATGTGGGTCAGCACTGTGTAGAACCGTCTGTCCTCAAACGCAGGAAGATTCTTCGCATCCTCACTTGTGAACACCGAGGAAAAGAAACTGTTCAGTGCCTCCGCTTTGTCCTGGTCAGCATCTGCGTAACTCCCATCTTCAAGCCTCAGGTCCGATACTCTTACTTGCTTTTTTAATTTCGCTTTCAACCAGTCTCTGGAACTCCTCTTCAGCCCTTCTACACTCTGACTTTGTTTGGTTCCTGGATCTTGCATACATCCTCCTGTCCTGCTCATCGTTTGACCCAACCCACGTCTTGAATTTCTGGGTTTTCTTCTTAACTTTGTCGACCGTTGCATGGTTCATGTGTAGGGGTCTCCTTGTATTCCTAGAGACGCTGGGTTTGGTCTTGGGTATATATTTCTTTATCAAGTGATTCTCTTTATACTGGCTGCGATATTCAGCGTAGTGTCTGCGTTCTTATACCCTATTGACTAGGGCCTAGTCTTTAGTGAGTCAGGCTAGTAGATACCTCTCATCTCCTCCCTCATCCCGTCGTAATTTTCCTTGTAATATTTGCACCTTGGCCTGGTTTTATCGTGAACTAAGTAACAGTAAAATCTGAATGACAACATAACATGGTGGCTGGTGCCAACGGGGGCTAAATGTTCCAGTTTGGCCACCATACCCTCCTCGTTTGTTATGATGAGGCCCAATGGTTTGGGTGTTTGCTCCCCTCTGTAATGCGTCGGGTCCTTAACATGTTGGAACAGAAAATTATCTCTCAGAAGTTCTACAAAAAAGAGTAGCGGGGTTATTTAAGTCATTTGGCGTGGACTCATTTCTCCAGTCGATGTCGCCATAGCATCGCTGCCTTGTCTATTAAGGCTCCTAAGTTCCTTTGGTTTAGTAAGCTACAGTTTGGGGATCTGTAGATACACCCGACAATAAGTAAGTTTCCTCTCTTTAATTTAATTTTACACCACTTGGACTCTTCAAAAACATCCTCTCCCTGTACCCTCGCCTTGCTGGCACTAAGGTCTTGCCTAGCATACATAACCACACCTCTCTTGCAATTTTTTTGAGAAAGGTTCGAAGATAAGTTACATCCAGCAATACTGAACCCACATTCCTCTGGGTCGATTCTCTTATTCTTATACAACAGTTCTACTATATCGAGTTGATGTACCTTCAGTATTATCTCAAACTCCTCTCTCTTATATTAGTGTACATGACTTTCAGGCCGGAATTTGTTCTCGATCACGTCTTTGCTCTTGGTTGTAGCTCCGGTCAAATGGATATCAGTCTAACCATTAGTATTGTCTTAATGCTACTAACGATGAATAAATAAAAATCTTTTATTTATACATGTTTATTATTTCAAATCATTACAATTTGGTCACATTAAAAAGAAATACAGGGTGTCTCAGAAAAAAAATGTATATAGCCTTACCTATTTCATGGAGATCGTTTTATGGCGAGGGCAATTATTGATGGAAGTCATGTAATTAGAAGCTTAAATATAATGCTTAGAGATCTTAGTTGTTGAAGCGTTGTAATGAAATATAACAACAAGATTAACACTATGCAAGGTCTCCCACAAGTGAGGACATTGTTACTTTTATAGTAGGCCACACGCATTCACGCCTCCACTAAATCTGTAAGGGGCCGTGTATACATTTGTCTGAGACACCATGTAGTTTCTTGCATAACTGACTATTTAATCATATCTTGTAATCTAAATTTCAAGGATTAATATATTTCCCACCAAACTTTACCATGTGGTTATTTATAGGCGTATTCATATAACTATAAAAAAATTATAGAGGAAGCCATTTATTTCCTGCCAAACTTTGCCATGGGGCTATTTAGAGGCGTCTTTATGTAACTAGCCATTTATTTCCCGCCAAACTTTGCCATGGGGCCATTTATAGGCGGATTTATGTACCTAGAGGAAGCCATGTACCGTTTGATGGTCGGCAGTTCCTCAAATCTTTTAAAGAATTGGCATAAGTTAGGAGTGTTGGCGAGACAAGAGCTGTCCATCTGGAGGTTGACAAACAAGAGCTCATATATCACAAAGTCTGGGAAGGTGATCTGTGGGAGATAATAATTAGTGTGAGCTATTTTAGCGTATTTCAACAATACAATAAAGTTTGTTTTTTCCGTAATTATTCAAATTTGTTGGTTTAATTCACTGAGTACAAGATTATTCTTACTCTGAGATGTCAGATTATGTTAAGTTAGGTTGGGCTAGGCTATGCTATGCTATATTAGGTTAGGTTAGCTTAAGTTGGGTTAAGTTTAGTTAGGTTAAGTTTGATTATGTTAGGTTAGGTTATGTTAGGTTAGGTTGAATTAGATTGGGTTAAATTAGATTAGCATCGGTTTAGCTAGATTAAGTTAGGTTTTGTTAGGCCTCTGTATCTATATTTCTACTGCAGTTAATGTGTCAACATACAACATAATTTGTTACACAAAAAGAGTGCGTGCGTGTGTGTGTGTGTGTGTGTGTGTGTGTGTGTGAACAAACAATATTTAAGCTACGGGGCCACAGCTCCAGCCCAACATCCTAGACCAGTGGTTCGCAATCCATTTCTCTTGAGGACCCCTCAGGTCTCCGTGGCCACCAACTCCCCCAAAAATAATGATGAACACAAGCAGCTGTGCACAAGAACTCACGTCCATAATCTGGTCCAGATGGATTACCAACATACCAGTTGGGGATGATATCCTGTATCACTTGTTTCATTGTGTCATCAGACATTTCGCCAATTCGCCGTTTCACCGTGTCGTCTGACGAGGAAATCTGCTGCATCTTACGTTCACTTGCCTCTCCGAGAACCGCTTGACCATTTTTAAAGCACCCGGCTTGATTAAAAGTTTCACCAATTGTCTCTGCCATCTGCTAGGCTATTTCACGAAGAAGGGAATTCTCTCGTTACAAGTCAAAACAAATAATAGAACCTTTATTTTGCCACATTTTCCAGAATTTCTTGAAACACAAACTACAGTTTATAAAAGCCTGCTTTAGCCCCTAATATCTTGTCCCGACCCCAGTTTGAGAATCACTGTACCAAGACGTTTGTATTAGGATAAAGTCATACGCATAACTTCGCTGAGTCACAACATTACGTTCTACAGCAAAACGTTCACCGGCTTCCTCGCCCAGCGTACTGTACTTGTTAACCTCGGTTACTGTTTGCCATTGTGTGTATACCTGTACTGTCTATGTGCATTGTTTGTATACATGAACTGTCTATGTACACTGTATACCTGTCCTGTCTGTGTACACTGTTTATACACATGAACTGTCTTATTATATACATATAAACATAAAAATTAATATTTCTTGTGTGTATCAACTCCCAGATCACTTGTATCTGTCTAACTCTAAATTGTGTCAGTGGCGGTAACCCTTGTCACGTGAGGCCGGTATATACAGGTACATATACATATGAATGTTCCTTATGCTTTTCCACAGTTTTGAACACAACTAAAATTTAGTACAGGGAAGTATACTGTACAGGGAGGTAGGTGTGTTAACATACTGTGGTGCACTAGGTAAGTGTGTTAACATACTGTGGTGCACTAGGTAGGTGTGTTAACATACTGTGGTGCATTAGGTAGGTGTGTTAACATACTGTGGTGCACTAGGTAGGTGTGTTAACATACTGTGGTGCATTAGGTAGGTGTGTTAACATACTGTGGTGCATTAGGTAGGTGTGTTAACATACTGTGGTGCACCAGGTAGGTGTGTTAACATACTGTGGTGCACTAGGTAGGTGTGTTAACATACTGTGGTGCATTAGGTAGGTGTGTTAACATACTGTGGTGCATTAGGTAGGTGTGTTAA